GCATTCCTGGCTAGTCTGCAAAGAAGCACAGCTCGTTCCAGCTGGAGCACATCAGTTTGCAGCTGAATATTTATTTTGAACTTATAGTGAAATAAATTTTTGGGTTCAATAAAGATATTCCAGTAAGATGGGATATGTCTTGTTTCAGTGCTGGTTTGAGAACAGTTTGAACTGGCTTTGGGTCCAGCTGTAGATTTGATTCAGGTCCTCTCCAGGACTGACTGCAGTGGTCTGCCTGATGAGTTTGCTTTTGTGAGTCATCACATGCACAGCAGTTCTCAGGGGGCTTATGGCATCCTTCACTCCTGCCCAGGACAGGATGGCAGAAACTAAGCAGTCAAGTAAGAAGGATGTGCAAGGTAATGAAAGACTGTGAGACCAGGGCAATAAAAGGATGTGAATGAATGAGCCAAGACCTAGATCTGTCTTGGGACATATGCCCTTTTAACAGTGGGTATCACAGAAAAAATCCCCCCTCACACTATGTTGCTGTGATTGCTGGTTGTACTGGTAAGAGACATTTAAACAAATAATTTTAGAATGATTCCTGTCTTTTCTGATTTTAGACTACTCTCCTGGGAAACTTGAAACTAAACCAGTGTATTTCCTTTTGGCAAGTTAGTATTGTCCTTCCTCTACAGACAGTCTAGTTTGTCATCCTTGAGATTTGTTGTGTACACACAGCTATGGGAAGGTAGCTCACAACATGACACATGCAGTCTTGTTTTTAAAGGATCTCTTATGGAGTGTTAGCTTACATGCATCATCATATCCTTGTGTGGGACTATTTTTGTGTGGGCTGCACTGAAAGACAGATTATGTGCACTGAGGTTCTGGTCCTTTAAGAATTAGACAGATGTTGCAGCTAGGTAGGAGGTTGATTTAAATATTGATGGAGATGGTCTTATTTAGTGACTGATGGGAAGGAATCTGAATGGGAAAAGCTAGATGGAAAATTCCTAAATTCACTTGAGGTTTCATAGCATCAGTGCTGACTCTTTAAAAATCAGTACAGCATCTGTTAAATCCAGAGAGAGATACCTCACTGCTTTTCTTATATCAATACTTATTTCAAGACAATATGTTAGACAGATGTCAGAAAAGGGACAGCCCAAATATTTGTTAAGTATGTCCCTGCTGATGGTCAAGTTGGCAAATTGATTCAAAAGAGCATTTAAAGAAAGTAAAAAAACAATGCATGAATTTTCTCACATCAGGCACCAATGAAATAATCCTGCAGCCCCATAAAGTTTATGTACACGTTTATGAAGATCGCTGGTTACATTTCATTTGGGTGACATAAATTTGAAAGGATTTATGCCTCTAGATATAACAGTAGAAAAATCATTCAATAGTGTCTGGAACCCGGTGATTACATTTTTAAAGGAACATTGAGTTTGGAACTGACATTTAGATAAGAGAAGTAGAAACAGGTGGAGAACAAACGTTTTCACACAGCTGAACAGGAGCAGTGATGGTTCATAAATTTATTTTTTGTCATACATTTCAATCATAGCAGCTTTCTGTGTGTGCTTTAAATGTTTCTCCTGCAGTGCAGGAATTCCCACCTCAACGGTATAGATCTAGAAAGGGAAATTGTCCAGGAACACACACTGACAAGTGTGACAAGTGTGTTTTCACATTGTGAAAACAAATCTGTTTTCATTTTCAGATGGATGTATAGAACAAATAAGACAAAGACAGCAAAGTGGATTGCATTTTTATGTTTTATTCTTGTTTTATGACTCAAGTAGTTAAAAAAAGCCAAACAAATTATTTTCCTTAAAATGTGGTCCAAATTGTCAGCTTGTGTAGATTTGTGACACTGGCTGGGAAACTGACCCTTCGTTTGAACAGAAAGCATGCTTGGCTGCTGTGCAGCTTTGATTATGCCATCCAATCGCATAATCTTGGTTTTCTTCCGGAAGGACTGCCTGTCACTTGCCCCTTAAATGTTGCTTTAAGCAAATGTTTCCAGGAACTTTTCGGCTGGGCTTTTCAAGGCCCTATGCAGCTGAATACCTAATCCCTTTAAGAAGAAAAGCATGCCAGGTGGTGGATATATGATACTTAGAAAACACCACCTCAGCATTGCTGAGGATGGCTGTGACTGACGCTGAGGAGTAACTCACCCTCTGACCCCCACCAGAAGTGTCCTTTAAAGAGCTGTAGCCTACTACCTGTATCCAAACTCCACTGTCTTCTCTGAACTGCCCAGTAGATTTTCTGTGCTAGCAAAATTCTTGCTCAGCAGTGGAAGAAGTAACATAGAGGTGACAAGTCTTACTTTAGATCTTCCTCTCCTGCGTTATCTGAGGGCTGTTTGAATGAAGCCAAACAGTGACTTGTAGAATTACAGGACTTGGAAGATAGTCACTCCTGGCCCATGCCCTTGGCGAGATCTGGCCATGTGGTCTCTTCTCCAGACCTTTGTTCTCTTACTTCTAGGCAGCAGGCAGCTGGGCTGCCTTCGGTGTCTGTGCCATCATTTAACTCCTGGATGTGCCTGTGTGGACGGGCAAGCCAAAATTTGTGTTGCACGACCAAGGCATGACACCATGTGTTGTGTTATGATACTGCAGGAACCCTACAAGCACTTGGGGTGCAGGTTGGTTTTTATTGTCTGTAAGTTACCTGGAACGATCCAATCAAAACAGCACTGTGTGTAGCTGCGTGGCTTTGGAGCTAGGATGCAGCTGATTGTCTGTTGCCTTGTTCTCAGGTTCTTCTCTTGGTTGTGAAGCAGATCTTTCCAGATTTTGAGTTCATGTGGCTGGTGGAAGAAGCTAAGAAGAATCTTCCCTTGGAGCTGGATTTCCTCAATGAAGGCAGAAATGCTGAGAAGGTTGCTCATATGCTCAAGAACTTTGACTTTCTGAAGGTGAGGGAACACATATTTCCGTGTATGTATGTGCATTAATAGTCTCACTTTATGCTTCTTGTGCACCTCATTCACCACCTGGAGGAACCATACAGAGGGATAATGGAGTTCAGTCCCTCTTTGTTGTTCATCCTAGACTGCTGTGCTGATATGGACCAGAAACTGCTCTGAGACATGCTTCCTGCTTGTCTGTTTCCTACTGTAGGCACCGTATATTGGATGAGGAGTGGTGGCTTGGGGCTAGCAGTCTCTGGAGCCTGCTATTCATTTCTCCAAACAGTGTTTCTGAACTTGTCCAGAGACCTGTGAATTTGCCATTCTTTGCTGAGCCATCTGATGGTACATTTTCCTGGGCTTTATCTCAACTGAGGGCAAGAAATGGACATAAAACAGGAAAGCTGGACTGAAGCTGATGATGTCAAGCAGGATTTGGTACTCTGTGTATCTCAGGAGGAAGCATGTTCGTACAAATCTTCCCTCCTGCAAAAAAGCACATTCTCACTCTGGAGTTGAGCATACGTCCTGCATACACATCCATGGCTAATGCCTTCATGTTACCTTCGTACACAAACTCAGCTGCACCCATATTGTGCTCTTCCCCACTGACACTCTTATTCCACCTCCCCTGCTACACACTGGCTGAGGTCACTGACAGATGTCTGAAGTACAACCAGACATGTACACATCCCCTTTTTTGCAGGCATAAGCTCACATCTTCAAAGTCACACGTGCACAAATCTTTTGCTGACATACAAGAGGCACAAGCCTCCGCTGTGTACATTCTGGAATTACACAAGTATGGTCCAGCACACATAGTGCTGTGGGCACAATCACTGACATAACTGCATTTGCACGTACACAAAGGCAACAAAAAATGCACCCTCCTTTGAACCCCCTGCATACACATAAAAATGAGGTTTTCACCTCCTGTTTATGCAGAAGTCCCATCTGGAAGTGACAGATGTCTGAAATGAGGTGAGTTAGACTTTACAGGGTGATGCATCCATTTTCCCCTTGCTTCCTCCATGCAAGGGATATAATTCCTTGTCACCTGACTCCAGGTTTGGAGCAGTCCTTTTGGAGCCCAGTGGCAGCAGTGGTCTTCCCGCAGACACCGATAGCTAAAAGCCACCAGGGCTACAGAAGGCCAAAGGCCAATGATTTTGCTGAGTGGGCACTTATCAGAAGTGATGCACCTTGGAGAGCTGTGTCCGTTGCAGCTGTAACTAGGATACTGTGAAGTAAATCCCCATGGAGACGGCCAATCACCTCCTCGCTGGGTTAAGGAGCTATCATGATATCAATATGTGTAACAATAACAAATGGCTTGAGATGGCTAAATAATGGATCTTCCCGTCTGACCTGCCAATTCAGAGACATGTTCATCACCCAAAGGCAACGGAATAATTGGGCTCCTGTATCATTAATTTTCCTAAACACGGTAGAAAGCTGAGAAGTAGATTTTGTGCTGTGAACCTGTTTGAGCTTTTAAAGCCAGAGATAAATTGTTTCCATGCACTAGCATTACAGCCAAACATCTGTGAGTAATTAAAAAAAGTCACTGAAGAATTTGGCTGTGAGTGAGAGGCATCTCCGAGAGCATGGGTAGTGCATTACAAGCCCACCGACTCGCCCCTGTAAATCTTGAGACAAGAATAAGTGTCATCTGAAATGATCAGTGAGCTAGATGGGCTGGGGAACTGTTAGTTTTGGAGTTGCTTTGCTTTCTCACCAATCTAACTGCCAAGAATGGACATCTAGATAAGCTGAATCCCTTTGCCCATAGCGGATCCCTGGTGTCAAAGTCTACGCAGGGTTAACATGCAAAGTACGCCAAGAGTGTTGAATGGTGGGACTGAGGGACATTGGAATTGCTCAGCAAAGGAGTCTTTGATCTAATACGGCACACACATGGTAAGGGAGAAGTGGGTGACATTGGGAAAATGGTCTCTCTAGGACAGGAACAGTGGGGGAGGCAGACAGTTTGTGAGGGACTGAGACACTGTTAGCAGTTACAAGCAGAGTATAAAACAAATGCTGCTTGTTCAGGAGTTACGATGAGGTACAGTGGCCTGGCTGATTCCCCTGGCTTTGGTTGCAATAGATGGACAACACTCTTACCTCTTCCTGTCCTGCCCCAAGGTGCTGGACCCTTGCAGTGCGCGAGTCCTGAGTCCACAGCTGAATCAGGTGGGTGAGGAGAAGGGGCTGCACAGCCGGCTCTCTTTTTACAAAATGTGTCTCTCTGTACCGGGGCACAGTAATGGGAATGGGTGGACCTCCCTTTTATCTTTGGTAAAATGTACTTGTGTGGCTTCACCCATGTGCAAAGGCAAATCTGGACAGCTTGGGAGATTGATCAGCACAGTGACGTGAGGAATATCCAAAGCAAAAGGACTCTTGACAGTAGGGACTTCAGCATGGAAAGAATTTGGCTGGAGAGAGAGACTGGAAGAGGGGGAGCCAGCCTGAGTGACGCCTGTGTCACTGCCTCCCTGGGTGACACCAGGCCTCTTACTGGTACCTCACTCAGCTTGATTTACTGCAGATTGAATGAAAAGTGCTTTGACATTTTACACTTGTTACTGTGTCACGTTGGCAACAAGATAGTTAAGGGTCCCCCAGGGTTTCTGTGACAAGCCCCTTATTTATGACACTTGATTTTTCTCCCAGTTCAATTGCAGATGGCCTAAGTATGCAGGGTTTGTCAGCTGAAAGGCATTTGTGTTCCAAGGGGCACTGCGGAGATACAATTTATGACGATGGCTTATCATTTTTAGAGCTGCATAAGTGGGCCCTGTGCGTAGCAAACGAGATGCAGTTCCTGTCTAAAGGAGCTGAGTGGATGATTCAGAAACTTGCAAAAGGTACTAGTTAAACAGCCCAGCTAGAGGAGCTGCAGAGCAGATAAGAAAGCTCTCAGACATCAGTGGGAGTGAGAGGTGGTCAAAATCTTGTAGAGCATGGCCAGCAATGTTGCACGAGGACAGATCCTGCTGCCGTTGTATTGGTGTGTTGTCCTTGCACACATTGCTGGCTGTCCTGGGTAAGAGGCCAGTAGATGGATTTACCTACTTTGTGCTCAGGAAAAAAACAAGTCCTCACTTCAGCCTCTTCCATTTTTACTCCTTTTCTGGCTTGTGTGTGATATATTCTCCTTGCTTTCCCAGGCTGTTGTTTGACCTAACTCACCTGTTCTTGTTTCAGGTCCCCGGGATCTACTGGGAGCTCTCAACAAGGCGCGTCCTTCTCATGGAGTTTATGGAAGGGGGACAGGTGAACGACAGGGCCTACATGGAGAGGAATGGCATCAATGTCAATGAGGTAGTTTCTCAGCCATCTCTGAACTGGGTGTAGTGGGCAATGCAAAACTGATGTTGACATCAACTGATGTTGATGCAAAACGGAGGCTGGTAGGACAGGAAGGGGCAGAAAAGGGAGCACATACAGATGTGAACAGAGCAATCAGTCTGAGAGATCTCAGTTCTTGTGCTTCTGGGAAAAGTACATAACCCCTTCTGGGGAACACTCTCCTGTAGGCTGCACAACTAGAGAGATCTTCAAGGAGACAGATAGTGAAAGACGACCTTGCTCTTATATTACATACAACCATGGTTTGTTCCAAGATGGCAGTTCCTGTTATCCTAAAGGAACAACTTCAGCTTCTGATTCTTTTTGTCTCTCTTCTTTCCCTCTCTTTCTTCTGCATTAACTTTCTCCTGGACAAATGCATGGGATGTAGCTTTTATATCCCAACAGCTATCACCTTATGCAGGAGATATAATTCATAGGTCTCATATGATCACAGTTATTAGAGTGCTGGAGCCTCAGCCATGGTGCTTTGTGTAATATTCTGACATGGGTTGTTTTCTTCTGCTTTCCAAAATCTCCCTTTTTCTTCTGGATGCAACAGTTTTCTTCTTTGCTTCCTGGTCCTACATTACTGTGTAGTTTTGCAGTCCTTCATTAAACAGCTGCCAGATTTCATCCCTATAGAGAGGCTACATAAATAGTTTGTATGTATGTGTGGCATGAAGCGGGAGAGCACTTTGGATTCTCTGTGGCTGAGAGATTCTTGAGGAAAAGAAGGTATTACTTCCCAGAAGGGCTGAGAAGATGCGGGGGGAAAGGGTTTTGAGCTATTGGACAGTGTATCAAGCCACCCCTCCCAGTCAGTGAGTGCTGATTGAGGCACTGCTGCTTGCCTTTCCCCTTGTGCCCTATTGATGAGCCTCAAAGCTGCACTTGGTTGACTGGCTGTCAAAGAGCTACGGCATAAAATCAGTTGTACTTAATCTGTCCATCCACTTACCTCCGAAATCTGAACGCTTCCCTTCTTTCTGCTCTTCCTCCTCTCTGCGCCCTTTCTATCTGTTATGGTTTACCCCCAGCCGGCAACTAAGCACCACACAGCCGCTCACTCACTCCCCCACAGTGGGATGGGGGAGAGAATCAGAAGAGTAAAAGTGAGAAAACTCGTGCGTTGAGATAAAGACAGTTTAATAGGGAAAGCAAAAGCTGTGCACGCAAGCAAAGCAAAACAATGAATTAATTCACTATTTCCCATTGGCAGGCAGGTGTTCAGCCATCTCCAGGAAAGCAGGGCTCCATCATGCCTAACAGTTACTTGGGAAGACAAAATGCCATCACTCTGAATGTCCCCCCCTTCCTTCTTCCCCCAGCTTTATATGCTGTGCATGATGTCATATGATGTGGAATATCCCTTTGGTCAGTTGGGGTCAGCTGTCCCAGCTGTGTCCCCTCCCAACTTCTTGTGCACCCCCAGCCTACTTGCTGGTGGGGTGGTGCGAGAAGCAGAAAAGGCCTTGACACTGTGTAAGCACTGCTCAGCAGTAACGAAAACATCCCTGTATTATCAACACTGTTTTCAGCACAAATCCAAAACATAACCTGTACTAGCTACTATAAAGAAAATTAACTCTATCCCAGCCAAAACCAGCACACCATCCATGGCAAAGTTCATGTGGCATCAGTTAGAGACATGCCAAAGACCCCTCAGGGGAGGGGAAATGTGAGTTTGATATGCCCCACAAGGAGAGAACGTTAAGTGTATCTTCTCAGCTGCCTCCCTAAATCAGCGTGCAGCTCTTTCTCTGCCTAAAGAGCTCAGGCAAATTACAGGTGGAGGACTGAGTAGCCTGCCTGTTTCTCTGCCTGTTTCTCTTCGCCTCTTCCTGTGCTCTTGCACACCACAGAAGTCAATGAGATATTTCCTAGTAACCTCTGCAGGCAGAAAGGCAGGCACCTTTTCATGTGTTTCTCCACTGAAATACAGCAAAGAAAGGTCTAAGGTTAAAGTAGATTTTGACACTGTCTTTCCATTGTAATTGTGACAACAAGCCAAGGTCAACGGGTAATAGTGAACAACGCTCTCTTCCCTGCGAGATATCTGGTCCATTTTCATTCAAGGGACTTCTGAAATGAATACAACCTCACCCATGGATAGTGCAGTCTCTCTCCTTCTACGTCTCCATCAGGAAGAATTTGGAGCATTTGGGTCACTGATTTTCCTCCTCCCTCTCATCAGGGCATCACAGGTTATTGTCAGCTGATTGGAGGTAGACATAATTCCTTCTCTGTGTCTATTTTGTGCTGATGATCTTTCTTTTTATTTACAAGGTAAGTGCCTCAGTGATGCATCTGGTCTGCAAAGAGCACCATAGTGTGACTCTTGAGAACATAGTAGCTCATGGCCTTTGCTATCAAGAGAGATTTTCAAAGCCTCGCTCGTGGCAGAACATGCAGTCAGCTCCATTCACCTGGACAAGTCAACCGGTCAAAAGCGAGAAAGTTGTTTCTTTGAGTGAGTTTATCCTATCCTTTTCTTCTGCTATAAAGCAGAGGTCAAATTTAGCCCCCAGTGCTCAGATACAACAGTGAATATGCCTCAAGTCTTGGAATAGTCAGTCAGAAAGGCTTGTTTTGATGCATTAGCAGGAGGACTCTTGAGCAATACGTACATTTGGATTTTGAGCTGGGCTTCCTCACAGTTCTTGGACAACAGATCCATTCGGAGATTGAGGTAGCTAGCATAGTGTAGCTCTCTGGGACTTTGGTTGCTTCTTTGAATTTTCTCAAATTGCTGGAGATAGCAAACGTGTCTGGAGAAGCCTAGGGAAAAACATTCTTCGCAATCTTCCATAGCTTTCTCCAGCCAGTCAGGGTGGAAAAGTCAATGTCTTCAGCCTTTCAGTGGGATATTTTGCTGCCAGTATGTGCCAAAATAAAGTAGACAACCAGCTAATTTCAGTTTTTCTAACTTGCAGAGGCTTTTGCTTGCAATACGAGAGATTTAGGGTGAAAATTCAGCTCATTTTTTTGTTCATCTGTGCCTTTGGGAAGGTTGTTTTGTGACGTCTTGGCACAGTAGGTTCTTGCAGCAATGAAACCACATATTTTGCTGATTCTGAGCTGGTCTCTAAACCATGGCTAAGATGTAATTTTAAAAAAGTTGTCAACTGCCTTCTACTACTGCAAAGTATAAACCTCAGAGGTTTCTGGCAATCTGTCAGGTATACGATGTTATTCAGCTCAGTGGTAGGACTGAGTTTCTGCAAACTCTCTCAGTGCTGTGCTGAGCTGTTCTTTCTTCCTTTTCTCTCCCCACCCCCCAAAATTAATGATTAACTTTTACTGATTGCCAATAAAGCAACAGTAGAAAGGAGGGATTACTGGGCCTGTCAGAATCATGTGATGGGGAATGAGGTCTGTTATTACGGCCACAGTAAGATGAGGTAGGTGCGGTGCACACTCCAGACCTCTCCAGCAGGTGGGGATAAATATGACCAAGGGCCATTATCAGCTGCTGCTGTTGATGCCCTGGGTAAAGAACTGGTGAGCATGGTGGTGAGGTGAGCAAAAGGCAGCAGACACTGAAAGGAACATGAGGGGGTGGCAACCCAGGTTTCAAAACTATGACATGGCTTATAATATACAGCAGTTCTGGCTTTAAAGAGATGCATTAGCTCCCTATAAATCACCTCAATCTATCTATCTATCAACCCCTCTATCATCTTACTCCATTTTATTTTACTGGGCAGAGGAAGAGGAGTCTTCACTAAGCAAGATTTCTCTTGTGTGACAAAGCAGCCTTGAAAAGCAAGCTGAGCCTCTCTCCTCTAAATGGAAAGGATCCCTGAGGTGAAAGCTCCCTTCAAACCAGGTTACTGACATTTACTTAATACCGTCTGTAGCAGGATTATCATTAAAGCTGCCCAAAAGCACATTAATCTCTCTGGATCCGTCCAAGAGCTGGATTGTAATGGCATTTAATCAGAGAAGGCTTTGATTTCTAAAGACAAGTGCAAACACTGAAATATCTGCCTGTGGAACAGTTACTTATTCATGTGCAAGTGTAGCTGGGGATGAGCATGCAGCTAGGATATTGACAGTGGGAGGGAAGCCTGGAGAAGGGAGTTATCAAGAAGTGAGCTGGCATGAATTTTGAAGGAAGACCAGGCCATGGCAGGGTTAAGAAGGGGGCCATGTGGAAACTGGGCTGTTCCTGTTTCAAGACACAAGAGCATTTACAATCTTGGCTGGGAAGATACATTTGGAAGAGGTGGGTAGAGCAGGGAAGGGAGGAAAAATAGACTGAGGGGCTCTCAAGATGTTTGTAGCATACCGTCTGCAGGAGGGAAGGAGGGATAGCAAGGCTACTTAGAGCATGGACTTTTAAAGAAGATCCCAAATGGCGAAAATGCTCCTTTTGCACCCATTCTGATTTTACCCGATTCATTTAGAGAGATCTTGTCTGTGTACAAATCTTAACATGATCTCTGATCTGCTGCATGGATCCTCCCTCTCCCTCCTTGTGGACGCTCTGCCTGTCTCTGCAGAGGCTGCTGGATCAGCAGCTATGGGAGCTGTGGAGCTTTACAAATGCACTCGTGGCATGTGCTGTATTGCCTCCAACTAACCAGCCAGCTCAGGTAGCCAAGTGGAGAGTCCCCCATGATCGCCCTGGCTTGGACTTCAGTCCGGGAAAGGAAACGATGCCATGTACTTCAGCTCACTAAGAGCCTGTTCATGAGCCATGGATGATTCAGAAGTCAGAAAAGTGTTTTGTCCAGCTGAGAAGTGAAAGCAAACAGCTAAGGTACTTAAGATGAGCTACTGTGTGCAATTATTGCCATCTGTCACCTCATCCTACTGTGGCTTTTTGCTTCGTTCTGTTGCCGTTCTGCACTGGAATGGCATCTCTTAGCTCAATAAAGAGCCTAGCTACCTTCTTATGGTTGACAGCTTTGCAACTTGAAATATGCTTTCAGTGTGGGAGTTACCCTTCTGCCAAGAGTCAGGAG